GAGAGAGAGAGAGAGAGAGAGAGAGAGAGAGAGAGAGAGAGAGAGAGAGAGTATTTAATGAATAAACGTAGTCTATCTAGATCAGATCTAGATCTAGAATCTAGAATCTAGATCTAGAGAGTCTAGATTTTGTTGTGCACCCAGCCAAGAGTTCGGTAAGTAGATCTAAATCTAGATCTAGGCCCCTAAGTGGTTGGCGAATGACCGAAGGGCGACTCTTGACAAGCGGTATGTCTTTGAATTGGCGGAGACACTCTAGAATCTAGATCTATATCATGCAACTTGATTCATACTAGTGATGGGCAGGTTGATACTTGTTTATTCGGATTTACTTAAAACTGAAAGAAAATCATCATGAGCAATAAATAAATATCTTGTCAACAGTCCAGCTGACAAAAATTTGACCCAGTTAACAAACTGCCCCTGTAGATATAGCTATATTATTGTACTTTTTAGTGTAGGTGTTCCTCGGCCCCATCGACACAATTTAGAGACTTCAAACCTTGCCCGTCAGGGCCAACCAAGGCAGAGACGGATAAAAAAGTCCCAGCATAAAGATGGATACAGTCAAACCTTGTTATACCTCCTACTGTGGGACGAGTATAAAGTTGGTGGTACAGAGGGCTGGCTGTATAACGGGATAGCACCGATCGCCATCTGGACTAATATTAATAAGGTAGACTAGTGGAAACTATAGACAAACTGTAGCCCGTCTCGCCTCTTTTCGATACGTGATCTGTTTTGCGGAATTGCCAAGCGTCGTGGAAAAACAAGCCGCAACCAAGTACAATACATGTACAGCTCCAGATAAATCGTAAATTCAAATTGAAAGAAGCTAGGCTATATAATATGTGTCAAGGACCCTGTACGTACATATTTTTAAAACCCAATACTTGTCAGTCCTCGGGTCGCCCTACACCTGTTATATCAAGACTTACGCATGGTTCCCCACAATATAAAAGCCCCAAGGGCGCCTGTCAGCCTTTGGGTCAACTGGATGATATCTCGTGACGCCAGATATTTTGTCGGCAGGCTGAGGTGGCGCAGTAGTTGCTTTGAAGTTTTTCCTGGCGATTTTAAAACTAAATTCCAAACTTTTGCCCCCCCCCCTCCCCCCAGGGCAGTGCTACTGAC